ATTATATCTATGATATAATATATATAATATATATTTATTATATATTTATATATATATTATATATTATATTTTATATTTTATTATGTATTATATTATATTATTTTTATTTTATTTTAATATTATTATATTATTACATATATATGAATGAATTTTTCAAAAAAATTCAAGATTTATTTAAAAAAAAGATTTTTTATTCAAAATAATTATTATTTTTTATAATTCTATTTTAAAATAATGCAGTATTTTTTGATATCATGAAATTGTTCAATCATTTTTGTATTTTATTAACTAATTAAAAGTAGTAATGTATTGTATTATTTAAAAAAGATAATAGTTTGAAAAAATAAAGTTAAAAATGTTCGAATGTGAATGTATTAAATAATGCAAATTTCATTATATCTTTCATATCAGAAGCATTTATAATCTAATGTTATCATATAGTAGTTTTGCAGGATATTCTTCTTCATCAATATATAAATTTTCTAATGAATTGAATATTCTTTCAATTTTTTATTTAAGTGAATTAATTGGTATTAATATAATTTTTAATTGATAGTAATTTACAATTATTTACAATTTGATTTAACAGTTTGTAATAAATTATACTTTTAATATTTCAGCAAATATTAAAGTTTTTCAAAGTATTGATGCATATCACTTCATTGAGATTTTTATTTTTGTTTTTTATTTGAGATTGCCATAAGATATTTCTTTGATAATAATTTTTTTCAAAGAAAAAAATTTTATTTTTTATTAATACTATTTATTCAGAATAGAAGGATACATTATTCATTGATTCTTGTTAGTTTTATGAAAAATTCATCTGTTTCTTTTTGAATCTTTTCCATTTAATAGAATGATTGATAAATGATTTGTAATGTTTATCTCTTATTATTTCATAGATTATTTTTGCATTTATGCTGAAAAATGTAATTGATGATAATTTAACTAAAATAATTTCAGCTTTTTCTTTTGCAAATTTTCGTTTTGTAAAATATTTTGTAAATTTTTTTTTGTAAAATCACCCATTATCTTCTATCTAACTATCTTCAGTAAGTTTTCATACAAAGTTTAAATAATATATAAATTTAAATAATATATCAAGACATGATGCAAAAATCTATTGTTTTTTATTAATTTTTTTATTAATAACAAAGTAGAAACAGAAATTTTCGCAAAAAAAAAAAAAAATTTAGATTAAAAACACATCAGGTAATCATTAGTTATGCTTTGTCAATTAACTTTTAAAATATCGTATATAATATACAATATTTTATAATAATTTGCATTTTTTTGTTATCTAATATCTAATATCTAATATCATATCTGTTACTTTTATTAATGAAATTTATTTATTTATTGTTATAAATTTATTAATATATTAATATATTTATTAATATATTATTATATTAAAAATAAATTGAATTTTATTTTTAATATGCTGATATTTCAAGATCAAATTTATACAAAGAGAAATAATTTATTAAAAAAAAAAAAAAATAAAAAAAACAAAAGTTACACTTTTTTAAAATGATATAGCTGAAATATTTATTATTTTATTATGAAAAAATGACTTAAAAACATCATTTTTTATTATTTGTATTAAAACGCGATATTACTAGATTAAAACTGAAGAGATGACAATTTAAATTTGGATCCATTTATAAAATTTTCTATAATATATAATATAAATAAAATTGCTCTAAAAATTTTTTTTGAGGAAATGACTATATAATTTTCACTTTATATTGCGTCATGTTACATCTTCATACGAATTAGTTTATTGATCAATTCTTCCTTCAATTCTATCAAAATAGCATTAATATCTACTGTATGTTTAATATTTTATATTTCATATTTCAATGTATGTTTAATATGTCATATATGATATTTCATGGATTTCCATATTGAAGTATTTGTGCTTTTATTATGTGAATATGTTTTTAATATAATAGATATAATTAATGAAAAAATATAGAGAGGTCATAAAATTGATCAGATGTTAAAAATTATATATTTAAAAATAAATATAGAATATAAATATAGAAACAAAGATATTATAAGGAGTTAAAAAATTCAAACTTTGTTTAATATTGTATTACGATTCTAAATGCAACAAAATCAATCATCATCTAATATTTTAATTTATATTCATATCGTTTTCTCCAACTACATTGATGCTTATTTTATCTTAAACTAAATATATGCGCCTTTAATCATGTGTATAATATGAAGAGTTTTTGTATAAAGTTCGATGTAAGAGACCTCTATTGGGATTTATGTGAAATATAAATTTCAAATCGTTCAACGGTTAATTTTCTGACGAAGCGTTTATATACAATGTGAAAGATAGTGACTTATTATATGAAAAAAGAATCAAATAAAAACAACTAAAGCGATTAAAAGTGTTAAAAAAATTTATTTTACAAAAATGAATGATACACGTAATATGAAAAAAGAAAAAAAACAACACATACAAGTTTTTGTTCGTGTCAGGTAAATGCAATTTAATATGAAATAAGTTACAAAATTTTATTTTAATATATAATATATAATATTATATTTATATTGTTTTATTTTATAATAGGCCAACGAATAATGTTGAAAAAATTGGAAAATCAGTAACGGTTGTTGATATACAATCTAATAAAGAAGTAGTTATTCGTGAAAGACCTCACGATAAATTTACAAAAAAATTCACTTTTGATAAAGTATTTGGACCTAATGCGAAGCAGGTATATATTTCAATAAAACAATATTTCAGAATAGTGTAATAATTAATAAGAAATTTTTAGATCCAAGTATATAATGCAGTTGTTAGTCCTTTGCTGGAAGAAGTTTTGGCTGGATATAATTGCACAGTATTTGCCTATGGGCAAACTGGTACTGGAAAGACTTTTACTATGGAAGGAACTGATAATGATCCATCATTACATTGGCAAACAGTTGGTTTAACATTTTCTTTCTACCAATAATAATCTTGAAATAAACAACATAAAAGAATATATTATATATTGTAATGTATGCATATATATATACATATATATATACACACACATATATATATATGTATATATCTGTAAAACTTACAGGATACTACTGCTGGAATTATACCACGATCTCTAAGTCACTTATTTGATGAATTACGAGTATTAGAGGTACAAGAATATTCAGTGAGAGCTAGTTTCTTAGAATTATATAATGAAGAAATATTTGATTTATTATCTTCCAGTGATGATGCTGCTAAAATAAGGTAATTAACTTATTTATTTATTTATAATTTATTTATTTATATAATATTTTGATTTATTAAAATTATAATGATTTAAAAGGATATATGAAGATCCAACTAAGAAGGGTGCAGTAATAGTACATGGCTTAGAAGAAATGACAATACATAATAAAAATGAAGTATTCAACATTCTTCAGAAAGGATCAGAAAAACGACAGACTGCAGCTACTTTAATGAATGCACATTCAAGGTTAATATTGGTATAAAGTAATTATTTAGAATAGGAGTTATTGATTTTAATAATTATCATTGATTTTAATAATCTTATAATATGTTGTAGAATCAACATTTTAAATAATTTTTTTTTATAATATAATCATTATTAAGTTTTTAAATATTTTTAACTATTTATAAAAATATTTTTAGTTCATGATAAAATAATGCTGGTTATACTTAAATTAAATTTGGATTTGATAATAAAAAAATAATTTCAATATATATGAAATTTATTAAATATATGAAAAAAATGATTTGAGTTAATTTGACAAAGGTTTAGTGGAGTTTCTTAAAAAAATCTAATAAATAATAAATTTTGGTTCATCTTTTTATCCTATTTATATATGAATTTTTTTTTTTTTAGGTTGAAATTCAATTTCAAAAATTGATTTATTATATTGTCTCTGAATATATTATTTGAAACTTTAATATGATTTAATATGATTATGATTAATATTAAAATATTTCTGTTTTTATTTTTAAAATTATGTATAAAATAATTATAATATTTATCTCGATTATATTTATAGAAAAAAGTTATTCAGAATTATATAGACTATGACAATATATTTCAATTTTGCTATATTGAAATATTACTATTGCAATTTATGAATTGTAGCTCCTATTCTAAATAATTACTTATATTTTAAATAATTTATATTCTAAATAATTATTTAT